AAAATCCAAAGGATCTTTATAAATAGCGTTCGCAAGCCGTTTGCTGTGCGGGATCTCTATGTATTCGGCTCCAGGGTGCATCTATCGGCTCGACTCATTACAAAGAGGCAATGAGCTCCAATCGGGTAGGTGTGGCGATTTCGGCGAGCCGAACAGCGAGCATACTGCATCGTGGTATCAGTTGAAACAGGAGCATCGCTCTCGCGGGTATTCCGTCCTGCCGACACTCATCCGATCGGACTGCTCCGGACTCCGGGGAGGACGGTGAATCAGCTCAATTTCGACTATTTTCAATGCCTTCATTGCACTCTCATAATAATGTTCGGAATAAATAGGATCATGGAAAGGGACATCAGCGTGGTGGAAGATCTGGTGCTCAGTCGTAGGAGGACAGCATCTCCGCATATCAGAGTTTGAGGCGGTGGAATGTTGGGGCGTCGTTCAGGATCATTACAGTTTGCTCTTGAAAATCGGTTCCAAGTATTTCTCGTAGGCGCTGATGACTTGCTTCTTGTTCAGAGGTGCCTCGAGAGCGCATTCGTACATTCGCTCGTACACTTGACCGTCGTACGCTCCCAGAGCTGAGGCCAGAACCATGTCGTGGAGGTCGAATGAGTCCACGATGGGCAGTGCATTGGGGCGAATATCGTCGAGCAGACGAGTGATCAAAGCTGAGATGCATGCTTCGTCTGCGGCTTTGAGCCCCGCGTTGAGGAATCGACCGAGGTTCTCGTAGATGCCGTGAAGCAGATATAAATGGCAGACCTGAGCCAATATCGCGCGCAGCTCGGGAGAAATGTCGCTGTTAGCGACCCATTCCACGTAGTTGACTGCTAAATAATATTGCATGCAAGTTTGAGCGGCTCGGAGTAGATCGACCTGACTCGAATTCCAAGCGAGATCATCGATCAAACCTTCGGCTTTCAAGCGCCTGAGTTTCTGATCGACGCTGTGCACATCTCGATGAGCGGCACCGGCATAATACTGCACCAGGTGCGCGGCACCTTCGAGACCGTAGAGATCCTTATTGAAAGCCTGCACCGGTGGAGCTTGCTGATTGAGCAGGAATTTGAACTTCGATTTCGCACCCAAATTGTGCTGACCGGAAACACACTTGAGTAGGTACCGGGCGGTCTGCAAGTAGAGAACGGTGTTCTCTCCTTCGTAGGTGCAGGACGCCACCGTACAGGCGTAGAGTCGAGGCAAACCGGAAATGAGCATGTATCCATGACCACCGCAAGCCAGACGGCAGACCTACAGAAAGAAATATAATGATTAAGGCTGAGTGAGAGTCTCGCCGTCTTCCCTCAACATGCCTGGCGACAATACTGAAAGTTTCGATGTCAATAATTAATACAGAGTTTTGCCTTACCTCAATGCCCTTCGAGACGGTTTCGGAACAGTAGGCTTTCAGCCCCGAAGCGATGGCGTGTAGTTCCGGAAGCGTGTCGAGCACGCCCCTCTGCAGATCCGCGTTAGCTTCTCTGAAGATCTCCATCTGAACGGGGATCAAGCCACGGAGCACGTGGGCTAAACCGATCAGGGGGAACAGTTTGTATCTTTGCGCTTGGTAGTCGAGTATTTGAACTTCTCCGGCTCCGGCGACGATCTCCGACTGTTTGCGAACGGTGGAATACCTCACGGCGATCGTAACCGCTCGAGCGATGTTGAAACCGAACATTTCAAGTAGAATCACCCGCACGAAAACCATGGTGGAGTAGTTCAGTTTGTCGGATTTCGGCTTGGTGTATGTACCGTCGGGGCTCACGCGAGCGTTCTTCATGAGCATGTTCTCTCGAGGGATGCGCACTTTCTCCAATTTCAGGAAACCGTTGTCCAAAGTCCGCAGGCCCATTTTGGGACCAATCTCTCCAACATTGATGCCAGTCAGGGGTTCATGGGTGTTCAAGTCTCGGAGTTGCACCATGAAGGGATGCACTCCGTGACACTGGCCCTTGGTCCACAATTTCGCCACAACCACTGCGTGGTTGGCAGTTTTACCGAGGCTGCCGGGCCACCATTTGATCGAGGAAAGATTCGGGGTCTCTAGAATGAACTCCTGCGTGGTCTCGTCGTAGGTGGCGGTGGTCTCCAATCCCCGTACGTAGGTTCCGTGACCCAATTCCGTCTGAGCGTAAGACCCGATGATCCGCATCGTCATTGCGTCCGGCAGCCATTTGGCTTGCTGCTCTTCATCGGCATGACCCAACAGGGCGGGAATGAACATGATGAAGTGCACGTGCACGGGGGTTGCGTCGAGCAGTATAGCGTCGGCGATGGTCAGGATCTCACGAGGGTCAGCAAGATCGAAGGCTTTCTGGTAGATCTTCAGCGTTTTTCGAAAGGGAGTTCTCGTAGGCTTCTTCGTGGGACAGATAAACGGTCGGAACCTCGTCCCTGAACTGGGGATCATCGTGGAAGATCTTCTCGAGTTCCTTCCGTCGCTCGGTCTTGTCTCTGCCCCCATCGAGTAGATGCGTCAGCTCCTGCGTCGAGAATGTTGCGTTGGCACGCTCCTTGAGGAACTGGTCGCACACGGGTCTTTTCTTGTACATCGCGGATGGTCGAGCTATTCGAGAAGGAGTTGCGAGAACAGCGTTGTAGTTCGCGACTCTATTGAGAGCTTGAAATTGTAGACGGGCTGTGTCGTCCCTTCATGTAGTGCGGGCGAGTCACTTTTCGAGGAGGGTTTTCGAGTACCGCCTCCGTTCTGGCTCGGAAGTGGGGTCGGTCAGAATTCGCGGGGGGTTGTCATCGACGGAGCGGTTCGGTCGTTGAAAGATCGGAGCGGTTCGGCAGTCGAAAGGTCGGGGCGGCCCATCTCGGGATCGTTTTGCGTGAGTGCTGCGGGATCGACTTGAGCATCTACTTCTAGATAGTTGTCGGAGGACCCGGGTCGCTGTACCGAGCTCGTCGGGATTAGAGTGATGACTCCGGGTTCGTTGCACAAGATGGTACTATCTTCGTATAATGGTCGTTTATTCTGACTTTCCACTGCACTAGTCTTTGACGGGATTATTCCGTCGCGTCACGATATTATTGACTGCTCTATTTACATTGTTCGCGCGCTGTCGCCGCCTCCGAGATCGTCTGCTGAGAACGTCGGCGGTACTTTCCGTAAGCGCCGTCGACACTCCCGGGCTGAAGGAGAATATTATTATTTCTGTGGCGCGTTTTCCTCACTCGCTTCCGCTATCTCCAGAGGGTATAGGAGCGTCAAGGGTCTTTGCAGAGACACTTGCCGCTGCCCAATTTCAATCGACATGACCTGACGATATCATCTCTACTGACGTTCAACTTTTCTACCCTAGCGATTTTCCAACATAACTTCGGCGTTTGTGGGTCCCTAACAATTACAAGCTGACCCACCTTAACAGTCTGCAAGTTACTCGGAATCGTTTCATGGAAGTTTCGTAGAAGTGATAAGTATTCATGTTCCCAGCGTTTCCACAGAGATTCGACGACGGTTTTCCTGTGTCTCCAACGCTGCAGGACGTCCTTCGCTCTCAACTTACCAGGCAGAGCTGAATCCTAACCTAACCATTTCGGCTGAGATGATATCGTCGATTCTGTCTGGTGTGATTTTGTTCACTAACCAGATCAGGATATGTGCATGCGGGAGTCCTCTTTTCTGCCATTCGATGGAGTACATCCAGCATCGTGTTTCTCCAAAAACTTGATCTTTGTTGATGAAATTCATCATTGATCGTAATTTCTGTCTGAAGACGCGAGCAATGATGTCGTGGCGATCGGATGACGCTTGACCTCGTAGCAAGAGCTCTTGAATTTCATCCCAGGCAGGATTGCACGTGAATGTGATGAATAAATCGGGGCGACCGTATGCGCGAACATATGTCATAGCATCCATGGCGTATTCATGCATATGACGCGGGCTCCCGATGTACGTGGATGGTGAAATTACCTGCTTCCCAAGACTGTTGGCATCGACGTTGGCATCAGTGTTCACCGCATCGCGTAGATGAATGTATTCTTCCGAACGCAGTTTCGTTTGATTCAGGCGGATATAGAGCAGTCTTTCGCTCTCGATTTTCACGTACATATCGACAATGAATTGGTGAAACAATAGCCGACATCTGAGAATGTGATTGTCGGAATTGTCACGAATCATGATTCGATAAGCGTAAAAATTCATTGAACTGACCTTCTTATTCGTTTCTGTATCGGTTCTCGGGACTCTCATCTTGATGTTGAAGTGGTACCCATCCTCTCCCTGCCAAAACAGGACAGGGTACTGGAGCGCGTCGTATGACCGATGAGTTTCCGAAATTCGTTGGAGGTTTCCTCCTCGACGATGAAGGACAATGTCTCGCGAACCAACTTGTTCTCCAACAACCACAATCGCCACCTCGTCTATGATTGGTGCATTGTATCTCCTCTCATGTTCGCCGGCTGGTGTTCTATCAGCCCGAATGATCACGGCATAATCATCCGCTGGCATCCGTTCGAGCGCCGTGGTGAAGAGTCGGATCAGAGCATTGTTCTCACGGAAGAAGTTTTGTAGTCGTTGAACAATTTGTCGCTCGATATTTGGAATCACCCGGCACCGACGCTCGATTCGCTGATCAGCATCTCCCATGAAGTATATTTGCAGGAACTGATGTTCTTCATTCGGTAAAGGGAGGAGGGACCCAGCGCGATGATAAATCTGGCCTTGGCACTTGAACGTAGGCATGAATTCATCATTGAAAGTCTCGGTAGCGCCGAAAGATGTCATTTGGAAAGCCGAATTATACTTGCGTATGTTCTTCAGAAAATGCTTCGATTCGCTTGTTTCCCCGGCTACCAGGGCCCGGAGTGTCTGGGGTGGCGAACGTAGGTCGGGTAGCTTGACTTGACCGTTGGCACAGCACATGCCAGCCGTCTCGTTTTTGAACTTTAAAGCACGGCAGAACTGACACGATTGATCCATCCTTCCAATGACAACTTTGGGATGGAGATCGTAGTTGTAATTCTGAACATAGTTGAAAGCGGCCAGATTCAAATCTACGTGCGGTGTACGTCTTGATCGAACGTGGAGCTGCCTATCGGTTTGCACTCTAGATGTCCGCTCAGCTTCTGATTCGCGGGCGCGAATGGAAGCAGTCTGAGCACGGTCCGCTTCCAGCCTGGCTTCTCGCTCAGCTCCTGATTCGCTGGCGCGACTGGAAGCAGCCTGAGCACGGTCAGCTTCCAGTCTCGCCTCTCGCTGAGCGGCTGATTCGCTGGCGCGAGTGGAGGCAGACCGACTCCGGTCAGCTTCCAGTCTGACTTCTCGCCGGGTGTCCCATTCACTGGCCCGGCGACGATCAGCTGCTAACCTGGCTGCTCGTTGGGTGTCTGATTCATTGGAGCGGGTAGTTGAGCTCCGAGCGCGATCAGCTCCCAGTCTGTTCTGCCGTTGATCTTCGGTTTCACTTTCATGGCTCTCCCGACGTTCTGCCAACCACAATTGTCGTTCTTCTTCGGTCTCTGCCTCCCGAGATGCCTCCCTCTTCGCGGCTTTCTTCGTTGACCGGCTCAATCTGGTTTCTTCGGGAGGCATGATGACTCGAGACTCGAGATTCAGCTAGCAGCGGATCCAAACGTGTATAGGCGAACGCGGCTCGGGGCCTTCTCATGCCCTGCAAAACGGTCAAGGGTAAGGTCGCATATTAGGAAAGAGGACTCGCGATCTCGAATAGAAGAAATATAGCCGTCCGTGAAGGGCAGGGCTTCGGATCTCATAAACGAAGGTATCCACAGAGGGGTGCCGACGGCGGTCAGAGCCTACTCCACACAGAACTTGATGAAAGCAAGTAGATGTGCTTTCCGTCCCGAATTGGATCAAACATAAAACTGGAATGAGCATGTGTCCGAATGCGGTGAGCTAAAGGATAAAATCAAGAGCAACGGCAAGCGCTTTGTGATCAAGTGTCGCGGTCGGATCGACATCTTCGATTCTCAATCAGACAATCGAACAGCCGGCGATTCTTCGATCTATCGGTTGTACTGACCGTTCTTCTTCTCATCCTGAATTTCTATGATAATGTGAAGAAATCTAGCTGGAGAACTCTGGAAATTCCCGAACGATTTCCGGCGGGGGACCCGGTACTGAATTTCCCAGGAAGAGAGAGCTCATCCTCATCTTACGGGCACGACGACCCCCTCATTGCATCAGAATTTCACAAATTCCAATTTTCCCACTTTTTTCCAAATGTTTGATTTTTTTGGGTAAACCACTCGAATATTTTTCAAGGTAGAAGGACTCATCGCATCGGAAAACTGACCCCTATAACCACCGGTGTGATTCACGGAACACGCTCGCGAATTTTCACAACGATCGGTTCAGCCGTTCTCGAGTCTATAGGGTACCCCGGGCATACAGACAGACAGACGTTTTTATATATATAGATAGATTAACGCCAATATTAGATCGGTGGGGTGCGCACGCGCATAGGTACGCCGATAAGCGCGGCGTCGACCCCTCCAGAACTGAGCGTCAGCTGTTCCTCCATCAGCCTGTCGAGAGCAGAGAGATGTGGAGGACACTGCGACAGACCCAATGGCGACAGCGACGGGGAAATAGCGAGCTGACCGATGGACATCATTATCTCAACAGTTATCATAATCGAGTGGCAGACCACGAGAACCTCGGAAAGTCCAATAGCCGGGTTCGAATTTCGTGCGTTCACTCAAGTGATCAGAAGACGATCGAAGTCTAATCCCCTCCATCGTTGTCATTCTATCATCTCCAGAAGATTCGTCCATCACCTTGGATTGCTCCGGGAGATACAGCGGTACCTCGACTTACGATCGTCTCGACTTGGGAACGATTCGACTTACGATCTTTTTTTTGAGAGGAACTCGTTTCGACTTACGACCATCGATTCGACTTGCGACCGATTTCACCTTTCACCTTTTTCTCCGCTCGGAGCGGATCAATTGCTCCAGTATGCTCTCCTGTGGGATATTCTGTTTCGACTTACGATTGGTCTCCGGGAACGGGTTAAGATCTTAAGTCGAGGTACCACGGTATTTCGTTTCGCGCAGCGCACTCCGCGTGAACTCAACAAGTTCAAATCTCGTGTCTTCATTTCCCGCGACTCAGAGCCGCACTAGTGAAGTGTGTCTGTCACAGATACAGCCTTGTCAAGCTCAAATAGAATGTTTGATAGATTCATGACATCGACGACTCACATTACTCACTGGGCCTCTGGGATAATTGAAGCCAGCATCGCTGTCGCTGTTGTCGTAATTCCCGTTGTAAGTCATATCCCTCGGATCAAGCGTCCGCATGCCTAACGGTCCTCTGAGTACTTGGTCGGCCAGCGACAGAGCTCCACGTGCGTGCTGCACATCGAGAAGCTCGGGTGCCTGCAGGGAGAATCGACTTGAGACATGAAACTTCCTGATTCGAATTAACGACGCTGTGCATTGCGTGAGCGCCCTTTCCCCCCTCCTTTGGAAGGAGCACCCAAACCCACCACGACCATGGCAATAGTGAAGTTCGGGCGGAACTGATAGTCCGCCCAAGGCTGCCTCGATCCGAACGTGTCTTTCTAAATTCCACGTCGGTTTATGAGGTCCGGCCTCTGATCGAAAGCCCCGGCACCTTCTTCGGGAACGAAGAAGCAGGATTCGAAATGAGTCTGAATCCGGATTGACCGCTCTGCGGAAGTCGTTTCTGATCCTGTGAATAACGGAGTCATGAGAAATAGAAAATGTGTCTAAATCGAAGAGGATGGATGGAATGCACTATCATCGAATCTCAGTGGATTCCAAAGCACTTTCGAGCTCTACCGAGACATAGGGGTAGATGGCTTCCTCATTCTTCTCGTGGAGCCATGAGATCACTGACTTGCAAAGCCCGACGAGCTCGACCACGGAACCGTCACGGGGCGAAGCTGGGATTTCCTGGATAGAATATTCGACGTCTTTTCCTGAACGAACCTGGGAAACTCGGATGCATCACCGAGCCCTACGTTCTAGGCTAGAGGGCCCCGGTTCGCAAACCATCGGAGTCACTCAAGCAATCGATGGAAACGGATATTCGATTTCTCTTCCCTTCTTCCAGACCTAGGGGGATGCTCGACTCACCACCCATCCGGCGAGGTTTCACGAGAACATCCCACTTCGAAGTTTATACGTCAGTGAGTACGCGACATCGATTCTTCGCTCAGAGACCTACGCGAGTCGATCGAGGCCAGAGGCTGCGAATTCCGCCGGCCGCGGGGATCGAACCTCACCGCGTCCGCCCAGAAAGTCTCGGTGCTATCATGCACGTTCCCGCCAGGGGTGTCAGACGTGCCAAGCACTCAGCCGTACGACCGCCGCCACCCACGACCTCCCACCGACGATCTTGAGTCTCCGGAGAGCAAGCATACCTCTCTCCCTCTCTTTCAGTCAATCAGTGAGTTGAACGGTAGTATCTTGAGTTCCTTCTGTATGAGCTAAAAGCCTCGATTTCTCATTCTATCGATTTTCCGCCCAATTCATATTCCGAGCTCATAATTTTCCACCAAGTCGGGCATGCTTGAGGCTGAAGTCCCGCTGCGCTCTTTCGCGTATGCTTGGCATCTCAGGATCCTGCGTACCGCATTGACAGCAGAGGCGCGTCGCATGCGGTCGGTCCATTCTTGCCAGATAGGTTTAGAATTCCACGTGGCCCGTCTGCTTCTCCGCTATCTATGACTCTCCTATCATGAGCTCTCCCACGCCCGAAGAAGCAGTCCGGCGGGGAACGTTGGTCACCTTCTTCCGAATGAAGAAATATCGAATGCCCAGCAAAGAATCCGTTGAGCATGCTCCACGCAGGCGTCTGTTTTGCGCTTTGTACAGGAAGTTCAAGTGTGTGAAGATGGTACAAGTGTTAGGCTGAATAAGGAGCCTGTGCTGTTCAAACCTCTCGAAGTCAGACACATTCAAGCGGAACTTTGCACTTCGCCAAACTTGTCTCCGAGTTTCCGAACATGCGAGCATCAATCCGATGCTCTCGGACAGTGCGAGGTCCCAGCGAGACGATGTCACTCTGCACACGTCGAGTAGTTCCCTCGAGCTCTTGAGAGGAACGTACCCCGATCGCATCATCTCTCTACGAGGGGACGTCGAGTGGCCACCCCGGTCGCCTGCCCTAGCTTTTTCCCGATGTTGCGACTGTTTCCCAGGCGAACTTGGAGTCCTGCGACACCATCCCTCGGGCGACCAATCTCCGCCGACATTTTTTACCGAAAGCCTTCAGCGCCCACGTCAGAAACTTGAAAGAACTTCTTGGAGGGATCCGGTCCGTCACGATCGTGTGGGACGAGACAACAGAAGTGAAGGGTCGTTGCATCTTGAACCTTCTGGCTGTTCCATGCTGTAAAGAGCAGTATCAATACATACGGCGCGAAGAGCATCAAGCTGAATATAGCTGGACGCTTTACGCATACGTAGAAATTCATCATTGCGGACGTCGAGCATGGAATTCTGGGATCGGACTTCCCCAGGAACGCCCCTCTCATGATTGACCCCCGTCAGGAAATACTCGTCGACAGGGTCTCGCAGGTATCCACTCGACTGCAGGTGCCGCGGTCTCGGGATCTCGTGAGCATCCTTACGAGAGCGAGCAACGATTGAGAAGTCCTGCTTCTTGAGTTCCCAACAGTCTTCAAACTTCAGTCTGGCGCTGAGGTCAAACACGGAGTCTCGCATCACATCACTACCAAAGGTCCCCCGAGGTGCTCCGGCTGGTTCCGAAATAACGCGTTTGGTGAGAAAAGACTCTCGAACGCTGGGATAGCTGGGAATCATCAGGGAATCCTTCACTCCTTGGTCAAGCCCTCTTGATGAAGTCGGTTAGGCCGACGACTCCATCAGACCCTGTGGGGGCTTTCGCCAGGTGAATGACGTCACCGAACCAAACCGGTATCTCTTGCCTAATGGTCATCATTTCTCGGGGAATCTGAATGGCTGTACGATTTTCTCCAAGATAGACTCGGGGGAAGGATACCATCAGATCCTGATGGCTCCTGGCGATATCCCCTGCCATCAGCCCTTCTGGCCTCCTGGAGTGAATGCCTGTCGGGCTGAGGCACAACGCCAAAACGT